ATTGCCTTGAGACCTCCAAAGTGAGAGCAGGAATGACCTCAGACGAGCGTCAGTTTTTATACGAGGCCATCCTCACACATGAGGACGTAGATTTGGCAGTTCAGAAAATCAACATGTATTGCGAACACGCAAGAAGTCTGTTCGAAAAGGACCATCCAGGCGTTGATCCATACAGCCTTGATGATATTAGGAACAATCCTCCGAATACGTATGACAGCTCCACAGAGGCTCCAACCCTGGAGGAATATAAGAGCGTTAACAAGAGTCACATCAACATCAAGGACTCTAGAACAAGCCACCCGGCTTCTTTTCTCTCTCTTACTGGCCACGAAGACAAACTGGTGCTCGATGCACATTACGAGATAGTTCGCAATAGGATGGCCGGTGTCAATGAGAAGAGAGAATACATTGAAGGCTCGAACCCAGACAGCGTATCGCTAAACCTAGTGGTATTCAACTGGGGAAATATGGATCGAGCGCCGGTGCCCGCAGGGAATCCCAAAAAGAAGCTCAAACCTGAGAAGGGATTCGATTATCACCCTCTTATTGACATGTGCTTCAACAATTCAGCTCATATTACCCTCGTACTCGAGGCAGGAGCACTTGCGTCAGAGTATTCGATCGCAACCATGCGAAAACACGAATACAGGGGGATGCTAATCCACTCTCCTCCCAAGGAGCCTGAGGCACCCTCAATGTATATTGGAGTCAAGGGTGACCCAACAACAGACATCGCTCTCGTCCACCACTTTTACCGTCATCGAACAATGAAGCCTAAGAATGGTGGTCCCAAGAAGCGACTGTGGGCATGCCACGGTGCGGTGTGCCGCCTCACATTTGGGTACCACAGTACCATACCAGAGGCAAAAGAATGGGTCCACCCAAATTCCGGCCAAAGGATGACGAGAGACGAGTTCATGCAGATTATCGGATATGATCCACTCAAGGGCAAAAATCCTGACAAGGATGGACCCACTGATGGCTCTTACCTCTCACCAGAGGCGTGCCTGACACTGTCGACCCTCGACCCCTCGCCGATTCTCTGTGAATGGAACGGCCATGTCGAGGGTGATGAGCCACCAGAGGAAGACTTTGAGACATACGCAGAGATCTTCTCACAAGAAGCATCTAACGATCTTGACGAGATGTGGTGTACAAAAGGGCCTTACAAGGTCATCACCATCGCGATCGTCCATTTCAACTCGTTCATGACTCATAAGGAAGAACAGAGACGCGAACTGGTGAACGCGTTCCTCAACGAGATTCTCCCTTTTAAACCGGATGTGATAGCGGGAGATCTCAATAATATTGCGTCGAGGCTCACCTTAAAAGGTGGAGACGTTCACCCGCGAAACAGTTTGTTTTCTCTATACCTGGAGAAGAAACTTGCAGCATTCAACAGAATAGCAGGAAGGCACTCACAAGTGCGACATCTTTGCTTGAACAACTCCGACCAGCACAGACTGGCACGTGCAGATCGTCTACCGGCGGACCCGGCGAAGAAAGTTGCTGACCTTGACTGTATCAACAGTTATATCCTTGACTGGAGTAAAACGCCGCACACGGCGTCACCTAGTCCAAGAGAGGTCACACCTGCCGCTGAAAGAACATACTGGGAACGAATCTCAGATATGTGGCAGGACACGAACAACAACAGGGATATTGATATCCGTCTGTTTGTCTCAGTCAAGCAGTACTATTCAACTTTTTCTAACCTTGACCTATGGTTGAGTCCCACTGACAAAGATTGGCACAGCCCTTTGGGCTTCACGATACAACCAATCCTTACAAAAGGGAAACACAACCGGTCAGATGCCCAGGTCCAGAAGATCGCTGACAAGCGAAAGGCTTACAAGCAGCGTAATGCTGAATACTGGGGTTACAACGATTCATTCGTTTACTCATCCGGCAACAGCTGGTACGACAAATCGCAACCATCAGGTAGCCATCACAGATATGGAAGATTCTGGGAGTGGCCACAGCCTGAACGTCCCAGCGAGCCTGAAGGTCCTCCTCCAAGAAGGAACCAGGAATCATCGTCCTCTTCACAACAAGATCTACCAAGATCAAGGTCCAGGCCTCAAAGAACCAATATTGTTGACAAGCTCAACATGTCTTTGGAAGAGCTGGATGGACTAGAGGAAGAACCGTCACCAACAAAAAGTGACATCGAAGAACACGAAAGAGAAACATCAAACTTGATGTCTGCTCAGAGAGATGAAGAGGAACAAGAGGACGAATCCTCCAGTCGGAGAAGAAGAAGGAAGGCATCGCGTCCACCGTCTGCTCCGAGCGGCAAGGCACTCAGAACAGCTGCTACAGCAGCGGGGTTGTCGGGCTGGTTCGGACACCGCAACCGAGGTGGAGCAAACGCAGAGTCTACCAAGACTGATGAAACTTCACTTCCAGACTCACTAACCAGTGAGCAAGACTTCTCCGTCTTCAGCATCACGTGGAATGTGTTCCTGCTGCTAATGGGCTTACACTGGATGTGGAAGCAGATTACCAGGCCTCCTATCAGATGTATGGAGCGCCAACAACCAAAATCAAGAGCAGCAGCGAACCAAAGAGTTCCATTCCTCGAACCCGAGGATGAACCGCAGACGCGTGAACCTTTAGGACCCAACAGGGTCAATTCCGGAGAAACAACTGATCTGCGACCTATTTGGCATACTTCCCGAAGCGAAGTCTACCATCTCTCAGACAGCTGTTACCAGCTTAAGCAAGCAAGAGATGTTTGCAGGAAGGTGCTGTGCAAAAACTGCCTTCATGCAGTACAAGTTGCGGAGATTCGCAGGAATGATCCTTTCCAAAGAGGTGATACACGACCACGTGGCACCGAAAGAGACATTGAGCGCTTCCAGACCTACGATGATGCAAGTAACACTCCTCACATGACACAATTATTCCAGGATGCCTTGCATGCACAAATGGCCGAGGAAGCCATGCAGATTACCTATACATCGATCCCCAAGGGATCCTCGGCAAAAGCCAGAGGTACATCTGCACTCTCAAGTGCCGCATCGTCATCAGCGCCCAAGGCAATGCCACCAGGGCCTAACAAGGCAAACATATCACCTCCACCTAAGAGTCCTCCGCCAAAGGCGAAAGGAACAGTACCTTCTGCTCCTCCGAGACCAAAAGGTCCTACCAGAAGAGGAGGTCAAAATCGGCGTATTCAACGAAAGGCAGCCAGAGAAGCCCACAACAGTGGACTCTGCACCTATGCAGACGCTGCACTTGACGAAGCCAATCAAGGCCAGGCAATTAACGTTACGTGCCGAAACATAGTATCAAGACACGTCAGCTCTATCGATGCAACGGTAGAAGCAGCCGGCCAGTTTACACAACGCGTGCTACAGCACGTAGAAACATATGATGAAGAGGAACCGTGGAGCACGGAGTTCCTACCAATCGTGGAAGTCCTATTCAGGAACTTAAGCGGCGACGAAACAACTGTCATACATGACAATCAAACGGTAACTATGCCTCTTGCGAAATACACAGACCTCCTCAGAATCGCACAAGCATTGCGAGGCTCTATCCAGAGAGACAAGGAGGAAAGAAAGGAACATCTTGACACCATCCAAGATACTCTATCCAGAGTGGAAATCCTTCTCACAGCACTGAAGGACTCAAGGACAGTCTTTAACCAATTGGTCCATTCCTCACTAGAGATAGAGCGAAGAAATAACAATCTCAAAAATGTCCTCGAGACACTTTTTGATGACCAAAGCTCTGAGGAAGACCAATCAGAATCTGACAATGAAGAAGTCCTAACTCCTTCTGCACCACAGTACTGGAATAGCCTTTATGCCCACGCCTTATCTCCTTCAGGAGATGAAAGCGAAAGATCATGGGCGTCCTCAGACGGACAGCTTGAAAGAAGAAGGGCTGAACGGGCAAAGGCTAAGCAGCCGCAACCGGCAAAAGCCAAGGCAACTCCAGTCAGCTCACAAGCTGCTCCAAAGGCCGAGCCAAAGGCGACAACATCCAACCATGGATATGATACTGCAGATGCCGCCTTCACCAGGGCTGAGAACAGATTACTCGGAATCTTTTCAAGTTCCGAAGAAGATCACTCAGACCCGGATGAGCCACATCCGAACGTCTATGCTCGAGCCTATGATCCAAACCTGGATCCGAATCTGAGATAAGAAAATTCTCAGAGTTTCACAATAGTGAATCACAAGGCTCTAACAAGAGCACAATGAATGGCTGCATAATTCGGTAGTAGAACATCACCAGACCTGATCTTGTACAGATGATCTCTCTGACAAATATGCATGAGTGTGTGTGCAAAATGAGTGGAGTGTCCTCAGCAGTGTACTTCAGTGCTATACCTAGCATACCTAATATGCTGTTTTTATAATGAGTCCAAAACTCCGCAACTGTGACAGTGGGCATAACAGTATATGTGTGAATGTGCGGCCATGCTTTCGGTAAAAGAAAATTAGTGTCTGTTTGAAACCATAAACCTCTAAAGGGGTAGCTCTAACAGGTACCTACAGCAATGGCTGCATGCTCATACATATACATTCCGCTGCCCATTGGCTCACAGTGGTTTTACCATATTGAGACAAGACAAGCTCTCCTTGCGTAGCAAGACAAAACAACTACTGTCCGTGTGCAGGGCGCTGCCCTTTGATCCTTAGGGAATAACTGGTCATACACCTCCTTACAAGGAGTATCCCTTGGGGGTGTATCGGCACAGGGGGGGGGGAGGGGGGGAGGGAGGGGGGAGGGGGGAAGCCGGGGAGAGGGGGGAGGGGGGGGGGAGGCCTGGGAGGGGGGGGGCGGAGGCCGACAAATCAGGTAAAATGAGGGGAAGCCGGGCAAGGGGGTGGCAAACGAACGCAAAAAGCGGGTGTCCCCAAACATTTGGACCGGGGGAGGATTAGGTGGAGGGAACCTGAGCTAACCCCCAAGACGCCTGGGCCTGTGGCCTCGGCGGATTTGATTCGTAGAGCGCCTTGATATGAAAAGCTTGCTGGGGCCAGGATGGCGCGGCGGAGATTGCTTCCGTGGAGGCCAGTCGAGCGTTCCATCTGACGTGCCCCGTGAATGCCATGGTTCCTGCAGCGGCATCTATCAGACACGGCAGGAACTGCTGGCCCAGATCGACAACACCAGCCTTGAGCAGGAGCAGCTTCGAGAACTGCGGTCCCCAGATGAGGCAACTGTCGCAGACCTGCATCGCTGCTGGTTTGTCGTAGCCGGTAGTGGCCGCGGGATTTTCAGCGATGCTTCGGGGGTTTCGACAGGTATAGGCATAGGCATGCTACTGCTATTGGGCGTCTAAGATCTTACTATTATTGCGCCCGGGCACGCAGGCATGTGCGCTGCGAGACACGGTGGGTAGTGAGCAAGACGAGGCGCCAAGTTTCGACCTTCGGCCGTTCAGGTTGTCGCGAACACTAGTCACTACAGAACCGGGGCAAGCAGCAGACTTGGTTCTTAATTCTTGATTCTTACTGCATGTGGCATTTAGCAATGGAGCTCGGAATACACAAACAAACAAGCCACCAAGCAAACATGCATACATTCATCCATCATGCATATCTGTAAAAGCCGAAGGTTTGCTTCAATCCAGGGTAAGTCAACGACATTCGAAAACCACTTGCGCAGGAACTCAGAGAAGGTGAATAATAAACGAGTTGCAACCGCCTTTCGTGTATGTACATTTATGTATTTGTGTACGTATGTATGTATGTATGCATGCATGCATGCATGCATGTGTGTATAATGCAGGCGATACCACATACGATATTCAACAGATATATATATATATATATGTGTGTGTGATTGGGTGTGCATATATATATATATATATACACAGATGTATGTATATGTGAATATGCGCATACACATGGTCTATGGCATATCCGGATGCTGCGTCTGGCTGCTACAAGGCCTCCGATGGCCCTGGGCCTTCGGATGGCCGTTCTAGCGATGATGGTCGCGAAACTGCAGCCACAGAGGCCAGAAGCACTGATCATATGTCTTGCTTGCGCAAAAGACGCAGGCAGCCACACTGTTCTTGAAGAGTTGTGAAGCTTGACAGGCTGCGTGTTGGTTCAGCGGGTGCGGTAGTCGAGAGTTCCAAGAAGGAATTATCTGTGGGAAGCAAGCCTGGAACGGCATCTATCCGGCAGAACGATTTTCTCTGCAGATGCCCTCTGCTCCTATCCTACATACCCCCCACTGATTCCGTGTCTGTTCAGGAGTGCGAGCGGTCAGCGCACGTTGCTACAAGTGCCGTTGTCGAGGCGGGCGCGCTTCCGCCTTTGAGCAATCAAGCTGCAGTCCACAATTCATCTGCGGTCAAGACTGGCGATCTCGATACTGCGAGCCTGTTTCGGCCAGGAGGGCGCGCAGATTACCTCCATGGAGGCTAGTCTTTCAACGGAGACTGTTCGGTGTGACCCAGATTCATCGCATGATTCGCAACCTGGGCCTAGGCATTACATGCCCCCTGAACGCCACGTTTATTGTGGTGGCATCTGTCACACGCGCTGTTCCAGATGACGGAATCACGAAGAGTCCCGATGGTCTTAAGCACATTGGCCTGCATGACCCTAAGCTCTGAAGCCTAAACTCCGAACCCCGAAAGCACCAGCTAGCTTCAATCTTGAACCCTAAGCACCATAAGCCCTAAACCCCTACACCCGACGTCAATGCTGAGCTTAGAGGCTTAGAGAGTGGAACTTCGGGTTTGTATGCTTGAAACCTGCAAATGCAGGAAGCGGAGAAGGATCTGTATGAGTGCTATTTAGACAAAGTGGTGCCGAATGAGGGACCGAATACAGCAAGCGTCGAAGCCTCTAGGCCTAGGCCTTCACTCTTTAAGATCACAGTGGTTTGTACACTGTACACATAGCGCAGCAGGTTACTGCCAAGATCTGGTTGGGTCCCTCATAGTGATCTGTCCGTAAAGGCAAGTGTTGTGAGGCTTTGCATTGAATGTATGGCCGGTCATTGTCTCAGAAGCTCCGGTAATTGACAATCAGGCGGCGAGCCTTGATGCGGAGCCGTGGATGTACGCTCTCTTCCGGCCGCTCGCATGCTAACTTCATATGTCCGTGATTAGCCCTATAGTCGGAACTTTTCTTCTTAATCCCTTGCATAAAACACCCCTTAAGGAGTTTAAATGCAAAGCTCATGTAGACTTGCCGCTGGACACGCCGAGCCTAGGAAGCATCCTGGTGAGGGCAGCGAAACTCACGCGAAGAAGGTGCACCGGAGTTGCGTCATGCAAGCCCGATAAACCCTTGAACTTAAGCGTTATGCAATGATATTTGTCTGATGTGAGCCATGCCGTTCAGGACATGCATGTCAGGCATCTTGCGACTTCGTTTCTGGTTGAGGATTCGGGGTGCGTTGACTTGGGATGCCCTAAACCCTAAACTTCAACCCTAAACCTGAACCCAAAACCCTAAACCTTAAACCCCGAAGCCCGAAGTTGGGTGGCCGTACTTTGGAGGTCTGGCCTCCAAGGAGCGTGGTTCGAAGGATGCAGCAAGAAAAGATGGAGGCCGCAGTTTAGAGTTTCTAGGTTTAGGGTTGCAGGTTATGTACCGAAAAAGTGTCAAAAGCCTCGAGCCAGGATGAGAAGCTGACGAAGGCCATGCATCGATGCCGTAGTGGTGCATATGCTTGGATCCTACCTTTCGAGGCCTCCTTGACGGACCTCGAGGCGTGCGAGCTGCACAAGAATCGTGTTGCAGCGGAGTGGGGCAGATTTGAGGCCAGGAATTGGACGTAAGACATGCTTGCCGGAAGACTCAAAGACTTGCAAATGTTTGCAGGTTGGTTGCCTGCGCTGGCTGGCAGCCTTCCCGCGCCCGGGCCAGTGACCCAATAGACAGGAAGGCAGATCGGTAGCCGAGACGTGAAAGCCGGAGGCCCCACCGCAAGCGCGTACACCGCGTGCGGGGTCCCGATCATGCACGAGCTTCTGCAAGAGGCGCTGGACGAGGGTTTGTTCGTGTTAAAGTGCGGTTTTGAACAGGGAATGCCATGCCCATGTGTGATGTTTCAGGAGCGACGGCAGTTTTTGGAGCTCTAGGCCAGCTCCCGGCTTGGTTTGCGTATGGTCTTTGTATTACACGCCACAGCTGCCGATTCTCACAGGTTCCATTGCTGCAATGACCGTGGCCAGTGAGCTACCGTGACGAGGAGGAGCCTAGAGTGCAGCGCAACGCTTGACTTTGTGTTCTTTGGCTTTCTCGAAAAGGACCCATCCGTTGGCAGGCTGGATACCATGCTGACACAATCCGCATTGGCGTCACCATTCCTGCCAAAAAGCTGATCTATCTCCTATTGCTTCTGCGTTGGCTCGACTTCGGATCTACCACTTCTCGGCCCTATTCGTGGTTGCGGACAGTCTCTTGCTCGCGAACCACCAGGCCATGCCTCTAACGGCGTCAAGCTGCTGCCGCGAGAAGTTTGCGAGCTTTGCCCACCAAGTCGGAAAATGCATCCCGCTGGGCTGGAAGGGTTCATGGCATCGCTTCACATGGACATGAGCACCGGGGAAGAACTGCATCAGCATCCGCACTCGCTCGCCCAAAGCCATTGGGGGCGTCTCGCTGAGGAATCGCCGGCCGATGCCAGAGGGGAGGCGAAAGCAGAAAAGCTGCCGAGGCTACCGCTTCTGATCAGGAGTCTGTGAACAGCTTGAGTAGTGGAGTCAATACGATTTCGTGGAGAATGGGAGGCGTGACAACTCTCCAAGCAGGGTTTGACCACCATGACTCTGAACGGTATGCCAACTCAACCCATTTAGATTCGTTAAACGGTCACAGTGAGTTGTGACCCGAACAGCACACCAACAGCCAGGAGGCGGATTCACTTTCGGCGTAAGTTCATCGTTGACATGGAAATCAACAGAATTTCTGTTTGTTCATATCCTCAGGCAGCACGTCCGAACGCTGAACCCTTCTGGAAGGATCTATCTGTTGCGGAGCCATGGGCGCGCTGTTTCTGTTGCAGAGGTTGCTGTTGTCCACGTTGCTGGCTTCGAGGGCCTACGTGGTCCCGCTGCCGTCTCTGGAGCTCCGGGATGGCGAGCCCCTTTACGGGTTTGACAAGTATCTTTGTATTCTTTTGACGGTATTCGTGTCATCATACTTTCTTACAGGGTCTATAAGGCTTAGGGTCTATAGGATCTGTTCACGGCCTATGGTGTTTACTGTTTGCTTTTGTTTTGCGGTCTTCGGGGTTGTGAAGCGGTTTTAGTGTTAGCCCACAGCGGCAGCAGAGGTTTATGCAGCAGATAGGTGTGGCTCCAGACGATGCAGCGATCACTTCTCAAGGGCAGCTTGTGGCTGACTTACGTGTCCTCCTTCGTTCCGTTAGTCATGCTTTTCCGTTTTTGTGGAGACTAGGTTCTCGGCAGCAGCCCAGCGTGAGTCGTAGGTTTATCAGCTACTCGGATGCCTAGGCAATCGCAAAGGCAACCAATGCTCACAACTTGATCGCGAAGCTTTCCTACAACATCGAATTGGGCGCCTTCAACTATCCTAAGGGTATCTGTGTTCTGACAAACCAAGAGGTAGCTTTTGCAATGTCTGCTGATCCCCTTTGGGATCTTTCTGCTGATGCCGTCTATGTCATGGATTCATCCTGGCAGACAGAGGGCCCGAACCCCAACAGCTCCAGGGCGAGGAAGCTCACCGCAGACGTACCTCTTTGCAGCGGCAAGTTTACCCAGATCTCAGAGTTGCACGATGGTTTGGCACTGGTCTGTTCATCAAACTTGGTTTTCTGGTCCGGCCGGGCAGTGCTCTTCGGCGGACGCTCCACTGCACACTGGTCGAGCGGAGGCAGTGATATTCAATGGGTTGGGCCTTGCTGCGCAGGAGGGGTCGCAGTCTTTCTATCTGATCGCATTGTCTTACTGCGCATAGCAGTTACCGAAGCAGGCGTGTCTGTATCAAACAAAACGCTTCGCCACCTGACTGCAAGTGTAGATGAAGTTGTGGCGTTGCCTCGCGGCGGTCTGGCCCTAGCCCTGCAGAATCAGTCGGCCACTGGCTGCCATGCAGACATTCTGGTTTTCAGCGCCTTCGCCCTGTTAAATGGGCTTGAAGCATCTTGGCACCGTCAACTGTATGGCGGGCCTTGCCTTGGCTTGGCTCTCTCTAGCTCTGGATCTCTAGTCGTTCTCATGTCAAACAACATTCATGTTTTTCCACACGCAGAGGAAGAGGCGCGGCCAGTAGTTACGTGGACAGCACCGTTACCTGGGCCGGGCGTTGAAGGCGCAACAACTGTCTTAAGCTTGCCAGATGATCTTATAGCTATTGGATTCTCTTGCACTCGGATAGAGCTTTTCAACGCTAGCATCTTGGGCGCTCGGCAGCCAGAGGCGGCCTTGCAGATAACACGCCTTGGTGCAGAGTGCTCTGTGCAGACCATGATTCCTTGGGGCTTGCATGGCCTTGGCGTGCAAGCTTCGGCTGGAATTAGTGGCAGCAGTGGCATTTTCGATGGCCTTTTCCTTTTCAATTACTCCGCGATCATGACCAGCACGCCGATCGAATGGCAAACGCTCAATGCGACTCGTGCTGCACAGTTCCGCCGCCAACTTAAACGCGAGTCTGTTCTATGTTGTTCAGTACAAGGTTGCAGTTCTAGAGGGCCTTTTCAGGACGCATCACAGTAAGGTGACCCGCGAGTTAGCTGACAGCAATCCCTTCGATCATCATTTAGTGGCTGGTGGGATAGCTTTGTATGACTCGACCACGAAGAGGGCAGTCTTCTTTGCCAATGCTACACCTCAGGGCGACTGGACAGCAACTCCTCTGTTATCCGAGGATGCAAATCCTTTGTTCAGCGGCATTGGAGCAGTTTCTGAGACAATTCTGGCAGGTGTGCCATCGTCAAGCAACTGGGACAGCATATCATTTTGGAATCTGAGTCTCCAGAGGCCAAGTGGCAGCCCGGGGATCGTCGAGCCGCTCAAAGCATTTTGCACGCTTCCGGGGCCAGACTGCGCTTTGGCACCGATAATAGGCCGTACTCGAGAAGGAGACCTCGTCTTGCAATGCGGGAGCAATGCATCCATGAGGTTGCTCCCCGCCGATGCAATAAACACTTGCCGCTCATCCGTCTCTTATGTTGACGTTCGATATTTTGGCACCGACGATATGTACCCTTCCTACGTGCAGGCTGTTCCGTGCTGCCGGGGTGGTATTGCAGGTGTACTGAAATTCTGTGGATCAGGAAGCGTGGACCCCTGCATGTCCAACGTATCTTTGTTCAATGCTTCGGTTGTCGCACTCGGTGGCCTCCCTTTTGGTGAGTTTCAGGCCAGCGGGAATTCAACCTGGTCGCACATCTAGGGTTCAGGGCTCAAGGTGCTAGAGGCATATTCGGCGCAACCAGACTGCACTTTCAATGCTCAACGGTACATCGGAAAGCCAAATCCTGACGCCACTATGGTAAAGGACTCTAGTGTTTCAGTGTTCATTGTCGTCTTCCTATGCCTTGCGTCAGTGGAGCAAGGAGATCAACTCAAGGGCTCACCCCGTAGTCTTCCGTGGCAATGATGAAGAAGAGCAGGATGCTTTCTGAGTCGGGGAGGGCCACAAAGACCCCTAAATCTGCGTATAAAGAATCTGCAGTTCCCCTGACTTGCGGCTCTCTGGACTCCTATTCAATTCTATATCCTTTATCGCGAAGAGGATTCAGGGTAGTCGGTTGAACAGGGGGAGCTGAACGGGCGATTCCTGAGGAAGAGAATTACAACAAGGTGATGTCCCTTCTTCCTTTGGCAGACGGAGGTTTGGCCGTTGGTACCCAGTTCCTGGGCTGCCATGAAGACACGCATGCTTTGCTAGGTATAGACAGGTAGATTAACCGTAGAAGCAAACAAGGTCTGGAGCAATCTTTGTATATCAGGGAGTGGATCTCGCTCCTGGTGGCAGTTTCCAGCCATCTGCCAGATTTGCAGGCGCCAATTGGGCAGGAAGCTCAATTCTAAGTGCCTGGGCGAAAGATCCATCGAGCCGACTACCAGACGTTTTCATTGCAAGCCCCATAGTGTACGAGCCACAGAAGTGTCCCGACATGACCTATGGCAGAGGCGGAGAGTGCAAGCCATGCCCGCACACACTTTTATCTCTGCAGGGTTCAGGGAGGTGCGGATTTCGTTCTGGAGGGCGTGTGCTGCTGGTTCTCTTCCTCAGCTCCTTTCTCTGTTGCGGAGCGCTTTCCATCGGCTTTTTCTTGGAGCCCAAGCTGCTCTCCAAGAAGCAGATCGTTGCATGGTGTTGGGGTGTGGCCTTTGTCTTCGTGCTCTGCCCGGTTCTAAAATCATGTCTTTTTGGTGGAGAGAGGGGACCTGCATGGCTCTCAGCGGTTCTTGTGGCTGTGGTGCTCGGAGCTTTCGCGGCGGAGCACTGGACACGACGCCAGCGCCAAGGAAGTGCGAAGGAGATCCCAGCCACGTCAGGTCTTTTGGTCTTGCTGATTCTCCTATCCACGGCCACAGGCTTCTTCCTTCTCTTCGAGCGAGCAGAGCACCGGGATCTGATGCATCCTGCCCAGACCCTGCTTGGGCCTGATTCTGGGGAGGGTGCCTTTTTCTGTGGCTTCTTGCTGGTCAGCCAGGCCATCGCACTGACGGGTATAGCTGTGGGCCAGCGGCGTGCGCAGAAGCTTCTCACGGAAGGCCACGCTCCAGCCGGGAGCTTGCTGTATTCCGCACGTCCCACCGAAGGGAGCCGTCGCTGCAGCTGCTTGCGAGAACGGTGTGCAGGTTGGCCTCAGAGGCTGCTGCAGTTTTTCAAGAGTTGGATGGGCCGCCACTTGGTGATGTTGCTGAATGCCAGTGTTAGCACCGCGACCTGCTCCTACCAGTACATGCGGGACGTGTCTAGCCCAAGGCACTGCATGCTGGCGGTGTCTTGCTGAGACTTCAGATGCTGTACCATGCATAGCACAACAGCCGAATAGATCGGACAAGCTCAGCAGTCTAGATCCAACTAGTCAGCCATGTCTACAATAGCTACACTGTTGCCATGTGGTGGGCTGCGTTCTGGTTAGGATGCCTTCACAGCCGGTGCGTTTCGGAAAAACACAACATGTCTGGTCGAAATGTGAACTTGTAGAATCGGGCAGCACTGCCAATTGCCACACAGCTGGGATACCCCGAGGTGGTTGCCTTCTCTGGATTGCTCTCAATCTCCACGGGTCTCCTGGCTATCACATCCGAGTACTTCCAATGGAAGGCCATGGCCCCTATTATAGAATCATTATATGGTACCGTTCTGCCCATCCTAGCGGTAGCACTTCCGCCGGCCAGCACAGCTGCCCAAACACCGAAATCGCCGGCAATCTAAGCTGTTGTTGCAAGAAGTGATAGTTGGGAACATCCTCTTCATAGAGGCTTTATCGCATGCGCTGATGCGAGAATCAGTTGTAATACGACATAATACGACCAACATATGTAAGGTACGACAGTTGTAGCATGAACAAAAATCCGCAGCAAATGCCGTCAAATTACTCGGTATGAAGGAAAATAATAGCGCTCTATAGCAAGATTGAAGTATCGCAGTAATCATCACATAGAGTCAGCATCAAATAGCACCACGCCTGTTAGTATTCGCGCGCCATGACTGTTAGCTGGTCGCCAAGCCTCGGTTGGGTCAGTTGCGAATGCTGTATTGCGCTGCCAGGGCAGCATACTTCCTTTCTCCTCGCCGTGAATCAATACATAACAGATCAGAAGCGTCGTCAACAAAAGCAAAGACGCCTACAAGTAGTTGGCCATAAAATCAGATATGTGTTGTATGTCCATTGGCTGTGTTACGAATTGTTTGCAAGGGGTTGTATGAGGAGATATCGTCAAAACTTGTTCCAGGAGATTCTGAAATCTTTGAGGTTGGTATGGGGGCTCAAGACGTTGTGAAGTGACAACCTGACAAACGACACCTCCAAACCTTTGCTGTGCTTGGGCACACAAATCTCGACCTGTCGGTGGGACGTGGATTGTTGTTAACGGGCGCCAGCCCTAAGCAAGAATTGAATCTCCACGACAACCCAGCTGGCTCATGAAAACCCCGATTCCGGTACTGAACCAGAAGTGAAATGTAACCAAACTCCAGCCGGAACCCTAAACCCAAAGCAAATCGCCGTAGCATCTTCCAGGCATTTCAGCTCTAACCTCAGTGAAGTTGCACCCTTCAGCATCAAATCTTAAACTGAAGTGTCGCATTGAGGCACTGGCTATGAGCTTTGGACAAACATCGGTAGAAACACAAGACTCGCACGCTTGGCGAAGACGTAGGTTGGGATTCTTCCAGTTGGAGGTACCGCCAAGACACCCTCTCAGGTCAAGGTTTGGTGCCCACTTGGTTTAGGGTCTACAGGTGCAGCAGATCAAGAAACAAACCTGTGCAGGTGAGGATTGACCGACACTTCCGTTGGAGCGTTCTTTGGAAGGCTGGATGTTTGACAAGCCAGGTCTGAGTACACATCGCCCGAAGGGCCCCTTTCGGGTTCCTTGCTGGAGTTTTGGAACTGCGATGGAGACTTTTGCGGCGACTTCATAAGCTAGGATTGCATTGGTCTTTGGCGAAGACGTGACTTTTGCAGTTTCTTTGGCACCTCTGTCAGATTCTCAGCTTGGGGCAAAGAAGACCACCCCCCGGTTTTGTGGTGCGTCTGCAGCCTGAAATGACGATTGTCATGCACTATGTCGCAGTATAGTATGCAGTATGCTGAAATTGCTGGCGGAGCCCTACTGTAGCCCTAAAACCAAAACCGCCTGCTTATTGTTATATACGATGGTGGCCTCCAGTGGCAGAGGGCACATGCCAAATTGAATCAGGGTTGAAGGTACAGGGTTGAGGGTTTAGGGGGTGGTGTTCTTGCTATTGAGCAGGTGCTATCTGCAGGGTCCCTTGCTGCGAGAGACTCCCAGAACTCAAAGCCTGAGAACGGGTTTTGCTGCACCTACACCAGTGCAACCTAAACCGTAAATTGTAAACCCTTAAACTGAATACCGAACGCAGGAACAAACTCGTCAACCCAAGAGTGCATTCAGCAGTCTCAGCCCATGCTGCCCCGCCTCAGTGGTATACTGCATGTAAATGTCCTCATGCTTGTGTTTTCGGGTCTTGAACTGTTCTGGTGGTACACTTTTTCCACTGGGCCCGGGTGCATGTTATTTCTCTTAGCCTATCTGAAAGCTGTGGGCTGCGACGCCCTACACAGGTGAGCATGACGGCAGGCAAAGTTTTGCTGCTGGCCATGCCAAAGGCCAGCGATCTTTCAAAGGGAAGGGGAGATATTCAGAAACTGAAGGGTGCTGCAAGCTGGGGTGGAAAGAGACTTGGTCTGTAGGTTGTACCACAACCGACAAGAGACGGTTTATAGAATCCGCATCTGCCCCACTTTCCCACTTCATGATCAGAGGCCGGCTCCTCCGTCGACGTGCAGTCCACGCTAAGCTGTGGCCCGAACGTCTTGTGCCCTGCAACGTGTCTCGAGGGAGGTGGCCTGAATGGACATGGAACCCAGTGCGGGCAGATAGCCAAATTGCATGTTACATCGCTGCCACGTGTGAGCGTTCGTTCACAGCAGTAGTGTAGTGGTGGTGGCGGTGGTGGCGGTGGTGGTGCTTGGAGTATGGTGAGTAACAGGAGGAGGGGCCAGCAGCAGCCACGGGAGAGATTTTTCGTCACGAAAGCTCTCGCAGCGAGTCCTTTGGCCCTCTTTGCTTGAGCTGTTTGATTCTCTTTAGACAGTTGTTGGGATATTGCGATGAAACGCACGAGGTAAACCTATACGTGGTAGGTCAACCCCCCTCCCCACTTGGCTAAAATCAAGATAGGCGCCCCCAAAGCTAATGCTGTTGATGGGTTGCATGCGGCCCCTGAAAACATCAACGTCGACGGTGCACACAAGACCTGACGATACGTACTGTACTAATTATGATGGTTTAGGGGTTTAGGGTTTAGGGTTACTCATTACTGGACGCTACTGTATGGGACCAACGGTCATGATGAGCGATCTTAGGTATGATGCTGTGCAAACATGGCACACGGCATGGTGCAGCGCGCGGCACAATGTATACAATAGGTGGCAACAAGAGCCAACAACGACAGGTCCAGAACGGCAAGCCTTCGAACCTATTCTACCGTAGCACATGCTGTTTTCGTGGTGTGCTGTTCCAGTTTAGTGGTGTACTCTGTATTGAGCTGTGCACTGTGCTGAGTATTTTGGTCTGTTGTACATATCGCCACTCATCTTACACGCCTTGTATCGTCTTGTGTGGCAGCGTCTTCCAGTGTGAACCTCGTTTTGCCTGGAATGGGGTGTTTGTTGCAGAATGTTATGCTGATGCCGTTTCTTGTGGGGTAATCCTCTTGCATATACTGTATGTCGCACTGTACGATCGCTTTTTGCTGTTGTGTTTTTGCATAACGGGTGTGTGTATGTGTGTGGTGGGGGGGGGGGGGTGAGGACAGTTTGTCGGCTCTATTGTACGCTACCGCGTGTGTTGGACTGTACCGTTTCCTATGGGCCAATCGTCCTGCACGTATCGCACTGTAAGTTGCTTGTCATTCTGTACTGTCTCGTGTGTTGTTATCTTAACTGTGCCGGCATATGTCTAGTACTGTCTTGTGCTCCATCTTGCTCATCGTGAGCGTCTGTATCACAGCGTCTTCCTCTACATATACTGTATCGTAAGTAGTTGTCGACTCACCCAAAGCCTTTTACTTCCGGCGCGGATGTGTAGCGAAGGAACAGCAGCCAGCCAGCAGCAGAGGTATCGACAGCAGCAGTATAGGCAGAAGCAACAGAGGCATCGGCATGAGCACACCCTTGGCAACAGCAGCTGCAGCAGCTGAAGCGGCGGCATCATCATTAGTTGTTCAGCAGCAGCAGCAGCAGCAGCAGCAGCAGCAGCAGCAGCAGCAGCATCATCGGTGGCATCATCATCGCATTCTTTGGATTCTCTTCTACTGTTTTGTTGGCTTTCAATTTCCGGGCCCTGTGCGCCCTCAAGTACAGTAGATCCCTCGCCTGATAGTGGCGCAGTAGTGGTCGCCGTCGTTGTCGCTGTCATGGAGAAGAAGCAGGCTCGTCGTCCCACGATTTTCGACAGGTGGTTACTGCGCCAAGTTCGATTTGATGACTGGCTCCTTGTGCAAGTGCGTCAAGGCGGAGGTGAGCTGGATCATTTACATCCTAACGGCCGTCACGAGCTCCCTTCTTTGCTTGCTGACTTTAGCCGAGCCTTACCTGTCCACTTCAGCTGTAAGCTGCATACTTGCAGTTATGCAAGAAGAGCTCTCCTCAATGAAGTTCTCCTATTTAATCTGAAGACTTCCAGAAGCTCTTGTGTCTTGTATCGATGTCCATAGCATAGCCAAGTGCAGACAATGCCCCAGAGTTTGCCGGCCTCCACTCTTGGAAGACTGCTAACAGCTTGTGGCATTGAAGCGGTCTTTTGCACTGGGCTTCACAAAAGAGTATGGCAGGGAGAGCCTAACTGCAGTGAAGAAGCGATTCCGAATCAACCCGGTGCCGGCCAATCGCCCTCAGGCTTCACGGAACTATGCTGTCTGTAGGATCCTGTAGGACAATCCTGGAATCTGAAACTTTCATCAGCATTGAATCCGAGGACTTGGCGGCGTTTTGGTCCACGCGTCTGATACCGTGGCGGGAGTCTGGGGTGCTGCGTTTGCGTGGCTCGGCCGCGCTCGTGGGCGCTGCCGGAGTGCCACTCGGTTCTGCACTTTGGAAAGTTGAGGGCGTGCTAGCAGCCCGAACAGGCTTTATCCTGATCTTGTTGAAGGACTGGGCTTGATGTAGGCTTTCTGTGGCCAGTATTCCAACGATCTATAAATTCCGTGCCTGGGAAAGCTCCCCAACGTACTAAACTCTAGGCATGTATATGTATATATTTGTTCTGTGTATATATGTCTATAGTGGTGTACAGGTTGTCGGAGATAATTATCTTCTGGAAGACGAAGTGTTGCCACATATCCTGGTATACTATATATGTGAATACAACTGAGGAGGCTTTCTGCAGTCCCACCTTCTTGATGTAGAGGTCAATATGTATATGACTTCTCAATACACAAACTCTCATGTACCTATTTCCCCAGATTGCAGCAACCGTACAAAGCTTCAAGAGACATGTCCAAGTTTCCAGAAAGTAAAGTGAAAAGTTTCGGACAACTGAGAAAATCATCATGATGGTTTCGCATGTGACCAATCCAGCTGTGCTCTTGCACCCAGGAACTGGTCGCAGGTACGTTTACCTGTCCATATGACAAAGAGCATAAAGAGCTTCGTTGGCGCGAGCTTTGTCAAAGGACCTCGCGCCCCCTGCGAACTGAAAGGAAAACGTCAAAATGGAAAAACATGGAATGAACAAGCATGAAAATCAAGGAGTTCACATGTACCACAGCATGCATCAAAAGAAATTTGCAGAAAGGAAACCATTAGGAAAGCGAACATGTAAATGCAGATTTGTCGCATGTACAGCAGAATAACACAAACAGGCCCCCGAAGGGGCGCGGAAGCCTCAAGGTGCAAGTTTTTATCGCGACTCTTCCCGATCAGCAGAGCAGCAAAATGCCTAATCAAGTCTACGCTTCTTCATCGTTCGCTCACTGCGGTCATTGACCTGATGGTAATAGCATCGACAATGATTGTGACCTTCGTCTGCTCGAGCACATACGCGGCCACAGTTCGGGTAAGAGCACATTCCCGAGCATTGTGACAACCTTTGTTGATACTCCGGAGATTCACGTAGAATTTCGACAACGCGAAGCATCAGACGAATGAGGTCTTGCGGATGAACATGACTGCAGCGTAAAGCATCAAGGGCATCGACAGCTGCCGTTTGTACAACATCCTCCAAATAGTCATCGCTGGCTCGCCTCGACCCCGGTTCATAACGAAGAGTACGACGACCACTGGACGACATGATTGGTCACTGAGACACCTATAAGCTTGAGCACTGCAATTCAACACAGCATGAGACTGTTCATGGACCGACATGTCTGAACCTGCATGTCAAAGCACAGCATTTATTCCTATGTCGCATCATCCAGTCATGTCCGAATCACACCTACACTTTACAGTGGGTGAACAATGCGACGTACATTGAGATCATCGATGAAGGCAGATCCAATACGCAGTCGGTCTTCATTGGAATGATGAATCCATTCCACCGTTGCATGGCGTACTTGGGCAAGACGCCAAAGCTGTTGAATATTGAAGAAGGTACGGTCGCCAACCAATCGAATAATGGAATAACACCATTCTTTGCATACGGACGCATACACCACAATGTGAGGTAACGCTGGAGCTTCACAAGTGATCGGTGTGTATACACTGGGTCCTTGCATGAAGAACTCCCACACTTCGGCACGAAGATCCATACCCTCTGTTCTGCATTGTGTAACGAACTGCTCAAGATCATACATCGTATGGAATCCATGTCTTCGTAAAGTAACATCCAAAGTCTCAAGCGGATCTAATGGCGGAAAAGTGAAGAAGAAGATAATATGACGTCGCGTGCTGATGAAAGTCAGCACTTTCTCATTCAGAACAGTAAGTTCCCACATGGCGTCAAAGGTTTTCCTACAACACACAGCAAACACTACGAGAAGGTTCGGGCTTACATCCTGCAGTGATGTATGGTCAGACTTTTGATTTCACGCGCACAGAAAGCTCATTAGCTCGCAAAGCAAGACACTGCATTTGCTCCGTTGAACAGCATACTTCTCAAGTCCACCACACTGATTCGTGTGGCCATGTTCTTACAAAGTGAACAGCCTGGGTGGTATGCGGAAAGGCAGCCACTCGAGAAATCGATGATGTAAACGGCAAATGTTGGCCGAATTGCCTTAATTGGAAAGCGTTCAAACGAGGTGGTATCCCCGTGCGTTCCGCAAGCTCGTGGCACAACTTCTTCTTCAGGTCATCAGTTGTAGAATCTGCTGGCATCGAAAGCCAGAAACCCATCTCACGTCCGCCAGAGCATATATCTGGAGGAACAACAATTGGAATCCTGACCATTTGAGCGGGGGCCGGAAGGGCCGCCATACTTGCCGTCCGCTTCATCTTACAGATTGAGCCGTAAGAGACTTCGTAGCTTCATGCTAACATGATGCACAACCGGAACAGACCGTACAAATGGTTGCAAACAAGCTCAGGGCATCAATTTTATCGGGCACATACAGCAATCTTACCTAACCTAACATGACGAGATCCACCGGGTGAAACAGTTGTACTTGATCTTGATCTGGACCGCGAACGAGATCTCTCACGAACTTCCGATTCACTCATGGATCTGCTTCTCCGAGCAGCAGTAGCACTCTGTTGCCGTCGACGAGGACGTTGATGAGGGTCCGTCGGGGAAAGAGTGGGTCCATCTGTCGTTGTCGGTGCAACATCACTAGAATCGGCTCCGTGAGAAACATCCAAGGGAGAAGGAGACGGAGAAAACGGGAAACGAACAGGAGCAGAAAGAGACACAGGAGGGGGAGGAGGAAAAACAGGAGGAGGAGGAGGAGGGGGAGGAGGAGAGGAAACAAGAAGAGAAGACAAAGAAGGCAGAGAGGGCGTCAAAGAAGCAGAGTGGGAGGGCGTACCAAGATGTTGCGCGACGAGGGTATCAGCATCATTTTGAATCCGGCGTCGAAGATGGGAAAGAAGCACTTCTGTCTGCCGGCGATCTCCCAAAATCTGAAAAAGAGCCTTGACTTGTTCTCCATCCAGACTTCTGATTATGTCATTGCAGCTCAGCAGTGAGCCGGACATTGATAAGTTAGGAATGGTACTCAAAAGCTTGAACCAACATCTGCCATAACTCACATTCTTGCAACCACATGTACACAAGCAAACAGAACAGCGGCTGACAATTTTCTGAACTCAAGGCAACCTATACGACTCTAACTTGCGCAGCAGGAAACTCGCATGCCGAAAACGTGACTTGATAAAGTTGGCACCAACATGTCTCAATGCCCATAAGCTGGTATGTACAAGATGGCTTCAGTCGAGAACCATGGCAAACTCGTAGTCTCATCAGGAACTTGATATGTCGCAGTGTCAGAGTGCGGCGCTGCATAGAAATGCACAGGAAAGATTCGCTGCATCGTGGAAGTAGATGTGTGAAAATGAATGTGGCAGAATCATTGGACAGTCCATGATAATTGTGTGCTCGGAAACATCGTCCCATCCCATGTATCAACCATCGCTGCCACTGAGCGAACTGCTGACTTCGACAATAATCGGGATTGTCACATCGCTGTGTGCTGACATGCACACTGCTGCATACCATAAGAAAGGAGAATATGCAGTAGCGGGGCGCCTCTTCCTTCCAAACATCAAGAAACTGGCAAATGGTCATGGTTTATTGAGTAGTGGATCATACCTTTTTGAGCACATGCATCAAGACCAAGTAGGAAACAGTTCATGACAGCCGATGCAAGCACAGTAAGCACACGCCAAGGAAGTCTTTTTATGCATCCCATGACATGTCACTCGAACATTTCTCAGCTGAAGCGTCGGCCTCGAGACCAGAGGGAGATACAACAAAAGAAGAACAAGAGGACCAGAGAGAGGAGGAACAAGACCAAGACCGGGAAAAGGAAGAGCAGGAGAGAAAGGAAGACGGAGGGGGAAGACCAAAAGAAGCAGACGAAGAAGCAAGGGAAGCAACAGAGGAAGCAGGAGAAAGGGGGAGCAGCGGGGGACGAGCGGACGGGCGAGGGGGAGCACACAAAGGAGAAGAAGAAGAAGAAGAAGAAGAAGAAGAGGAAGGAACCGTCGGAGACGAGGAAGGACCAGACGAGAAGAAAGGAGACGCGGACAAAGGCAGAAGAGGGGAAGAGGAAAGAGAGCCACAAGCGACGGACAAGGGAAGGGAGGAGCAGACAGGCACACGGAGACCAAGAAAACGAGCAAAAGGAAGACACGATGCATGAGGTGAAACTGGAACATGTTGCTTGACACAAAATAGAACCATCATAATGCGATTTCCAGCAAAGGGCATGGTGGCATGAATCACATTCCCATCAAAGCAGCATGGTTGTCTGACATCCAAGAGTCTGCCTTGTAACTGGTCACCATAGGACGCAACAGTGCAGTTGGAATCTGCAACTGTATATGTGGTGCGACCTCGATCATCCATGATAAATAATTCTCCACCTGTCCAATCTCCGATGGCCCAACCAATACTTGGGCCGTGGTTGTTTGAATCTCTGTGCGGAATAGTCCGAACGTTGCGATTGATCTGAATACTTGTGACGGCCAAATCTGAGAATTGGGGAGAACAATGTAGCAGTCGAACGATCAACTTTGTAAGTCCAGGGAATCGGAATGTGTTCTTTGTAAATTGCAGCCTTCCTCGAGACTGCACTCCGGAATACAAGCCAAGCAAGAGCTGATCTGCATATATTTGGTCTGTAGATCGCACCTTCTTCCGACTGTAATTCATCCAAATCCGTCGGGGAATACCATCAAGAACATGAAATAAGTGTGCAGCCAGTTCATCCAATGACTGAAAATGAAAACCATCCATGTCTACATCGAATGGGCTACGATCTATGGTCGGCATGCTATCATGTTACTGAGCAAAAGGTCAGTCACATGTAGGACGAATCAAAGAAAACTGCAATGCACTGGCAACATGAGACTGCAGACCCTGGCATCCATGTTATTTGGTTTTCAGGCATGCGGTCCACGGCGGAGTGCAACACTCA